TTTGTAACCTAAAAAGGAGCCTCGTAGAGGTATTTCACTAATACGCTTTTTAAAATTTTATTTGGTACATACATTTTCACAAATATTATGTATTTATTATATAATATTTGGCTATATGGCAAACTTGCATAATTATGTGAGATTATTTGTAAAGGACACCGAGCCACGCCGCGAAAACAGCGCCACCAACGGAGAAACAACGAAACCTTCCCCCCCCCCGCGCGGTGCGGGGTAGCGTACCCCCACTCTAAGGAATCTAATAAGATTAACTGATTTATGTATGAGCTAAGTGCGATCAATCAAATTGTACATAAGAGATCGATTTTGCGCAATAAAGCATGTTCTGCCTTCGAACGTTCTCCGAACCAAGTGTTTTACTTCTGCTAACTGCCCGCTTTAAAGCCAGCTACAGTCCATCTGCTACATTATTGTTGTAATAAATTTACATTTATGCTAGTCTATCCGAGTGGATAGTATAAGATAAAGAATAGTACTTAGTACGAATATCTAAATCAAATTTAAATTCAAATGAAGATTAGGTATGATCGCCTAAACGTCTGAATAAATAAATAATTTTTCAACAATACAGGTACGATGAACCTTTAAAAGTGCATTTATTTAGTAGTCAAGCATGTGAAAATATAAGAAATCTAACTACCCGCAGAAAATTTCACCTATGTGTAAGTACAAAAAACGCCGAAGGTATATCCAATTACGTGGAACTTACACTCTAAACAGCAGGGTTGCCTAAAGCTGGGAATTCACTATTCCCTGCAATCCCCAGTGATACCACTGCAGCCGCCGCAGGCGCAGTACCACGTGACTGGGTAGCCATTAGCGTTATATGTATTATCATTAAATATATCTGTAAATATATTAAATCCCTTCAGTTGATTATTTTTAAAATCATTAGGATAATTTTGTTATGAGAAAAATATTGTTTGCTGCAATGCTGATTAAGCTCCTTTTATAGAAATTTTAACATCCAAATTTCATTCAAAATCGTTCAGCGATATCTATATTGTTTTGTTATAATAAATACTTTTAAATAAAAGTGTGCATCAAACTCAAAAATACAGCACTACATGGGTCCAAGCAGTTAAGGCAATTCTGTTGTATTTGTTTAAATAAAACAGTGTAGGTAACTAAATTTCGATGCTGGTCTCGATTAGAAAGAAAAATTGACAACTAGCAAAACACGAACACGCAAATTCGAATACGAAAAAGTAATAATTTAAAATATTAACGGCCAGCATTGACCATAAACCGTCCGAAGAGTAAACCTACCTATAGTAATGTGCTCGGACGTTACAGTACCTACCTATTTTTTTCTAAACAATTTTCTTCATGATAATGATTATGTCAGTATAGCATTGTGAATGCGGGATTGACAGAAATACAATAATGCCATGGTCTCAGGTAATTAAAGAAATTTAATGTCATTGATTATTACTAAATTAGTTCTGTTCTTTTATTATTTACAGAATAAAATAAAAGGTGTAAAGAGAGAACAAGTAAATTTTCTCTACTGTGTGCAAATACTAATACTATGTTTAGTTAAACTTAATAATAGGTAGTATCTTTAAGTCATACTACCTATTATTAAGTTTAACTAATTATCTTCATAATAATGCGCTATCTTCAAAACTCACAGATTACAAACTTTGAGTCTCATTATATTTATTTATTTATTCTTTATTGCCTAACTAAGGACAAATGGCGGACTTAATGCCATAGAGGCATTATCTCCCAGTCAATCAGTTAGATTGTACAGAACAGTAGTAGGCGATAAAGATTAAAAACCGTACATAAAATCGTATCTATAAGCATCAGCATATATACGTACAATACATATAGGCATATATACATAATATTATATCTCCTAAACTTTTTTCAGTAAAAAAGTAAGCAACTGTAAAAAACTAAGCACAGTGTGTTATTCTTACAAAGATATAACAAATCACCTACTAGTGATAATTACTCTTTTATGAAATATCACATAACAATTAATTTCTCGAGACATTTATCTGGCTAGATTTTAGATAAAAACAGCTTAGATTCAAGCACGATTCAAGTGTAATCAGTGCTCATAGTACTAGACATGCGTCGTTATTTGCCGCTTTTGATGCGGGGAAAATATTATAAGTGGTTAGAAAAGCTGCAGATTGGACAAATACTTCTAAACAATGATATTATATAAAAAGTAATTTTAAAAGGGCAAGACTTATGTTTCTGTTATTTGGAAGATCATAAAAATACAACCACAGCCGCTTTACAATCCGACTAATATTCTTTTCGTTTTCTATGATGTTTCATTTTTTGCATGTGTATAATTTTCAGACGAGTGTTGGCTCTACGATTGGAAATATTATTCTGTGCGCCAGGTAAATTATGCCTATCTCTTTCACTTACGCGCTGACTGGATGTTTCATCTCTTTCGTTCGGTCTATAGGTGCAACTTGTCTATGTGTGCAGCTTTACTTTTCAGCAAGCAGTGTGAACGTGGCGTATCTTTGTTTAATACTATATCAATGCTTCTAAAGTTTTATTATAATAGAGAATCCATTAGTGAGAGTATATTGTACAATTCTCAAATGCTATAATTCAATATATTCATTATTAGGCTATGTCAACAAACTCGATTTTCTTGGCACACGATAAAAATACATAGTTAAACAAATTATAAATACTAGCACAGTATATATACGGCTTCTTAATAAGTTACCTTTGATAGAGTTATGTCGCTCTGGCGGTATCATAAATGATAGAAATAAAGTATATAAATACAACATCCATTAAATATTCTTTCTCTTGCAATTCAAGATATTACTAAAATTTTATACGACAGTAGTCTCTTTAAACATACAAGAATTATTTAAATTTTATCTTATTCCTAAATTATCGGCAATCATTCCAAATACATAATAATATAAAATGTGACTATCACGATATTAATATAAGAAGTACTTTAAAAATGCATTAAATGAGTGCAATGAATTATTCAAATTTTACCGAAAAAAATAATCCATTTTGATCCAGTATGAATTGATTACCTTTACCGGTCATGGTCTTTGTTATTATTACCAAAGCGCACTATGTACTATGATGACGAAAATAAAGTATTTATTGGTATACAGTTTTGAAACCCTTAGGTGTATGTTGCCGTAATATAATATTCTTTATAATCACACACACTAAGTTGGTATAATTTATTCAATTATAAATATCATTAAACATCTGCAGTATCTCAATTCTTTTGAAGGTTTTTAAACTAAAATATAAACATTAAAATTAGACCGAAGATATTCGTATAATAAGATATCAAACTTCACAAGGTAAGTTCGTTTGATTCTCAATTATTATTAGTAAATAAGTTAAGGAAAAATACGCAGACCAAACAAAAAATATAATAGATTTGTTGAAACTTTGAACGTTAGGTAGGTAGTCAGAACGAGGTGAGCAATTTTCCATTTTCTCGAGGTTGCGATGAGGCTAGAATTTTCCAATTCATCTTTTACTCCCGAGCCACCATGGAACTAAAATTATATTTTTGCTGTTTTGATAAATTCTAATAGTAAGTGTATATAATTAGAATAGAATTTGGTTACATCTATGCCCAGGAAAGAAAGGTAAACAAAATGAAATTTTTATAATTATGTACTTTTTTTTGGTGTTCCACGGGTTAAAAATGACACATGAATTTCTCTTATTTACGATAATATTATTGAACAAAATAATTATTACTGTATAAGGAATCAAAACAATTTTTAAGCACAAATTTATTATCAAATTTCAATAAGAACGATTAATCTAGCGGCAAAATTACTGCGGAATAAGATACACCGGCCGTCGATTCTCAATTTGTTTGGCTTAGTAGCGAGTTTGTTTGTAAGCGTCAGAACCCCTGGACTAAGTACGATTTTTTATGTTTGGAGACAAAAAATTTTTAGTACCTTTTTGGTACTATTTTATACTTAAATTCAATTATTTAGTACCTCGACGAACAACGCAAAAACATGAAAAGAAAGTGGCCAGACATTCTGACGTCAGGTTGTCTGGACCACATTTTTTTCACATTTTTGGAGACATTATAGATTAATTATTTAATTGTAAATATTTAGTACCTTTTTAATACCTCAGCAAGAAATATTTTTCTAATATTTTATGACGTCCCAGGAAAAAGTTACGCATGAATAAAAATCTTTAGGAAGTAAAACTCATCGTATAAAGGTAACTTATTAAGTTACCTATCTAATTGCACTTTTATTGATGAAGTGGTAACATATTAGATGTATTTTTCATGCCCCTCTCGAATTTTGCATATTTGATAAATAGAAAAATTATTTATAATCGAATTATTTCAAAGTCGCCATTGCACCTCCATCGAGTGCTTTGGTTGCTGATATATCATTGATATACAAGTACTCGCCCAACTAGCAAAAATATGTCGTATAGTATTGCGGCAACGCAAATTACTTATTCAGCATTTTGGCTTCTAATAGAAGTCATATAAACGTATTAAAAACGTTTATACAACGCGATTTGGGCCCATTTTATTCAGCAATTCAGTCACATAGATAGGTAACTTAATAAGTTGCCTTTATACTATGAGTTTTGCTTCCTAAAGATTTTTATTCATGCGTAACTTTTTCCTAGGACGTCATAAAATATTAGAAAAATATTTCTTGCTGAGGTATTAAAAAGGTACTAAATATTTACAATTAAATAATTAAACTACATTGTCTCAAACTATGTGAAAAAAATGTGGTCCAGACAACCTGATGTCAGAATGTCTGGCCACTTTCTTTTCATGTTTTTGCGTTGTTCGTCGAGTTACTAAATAATTAAATTTAGGTATCAAATAGTACCAAAAAGGTACTAAAACTTTTTTGTCTCCAAACATAAAAAATCGTACTTGGTCCAGGGGTTCTGACGCTTACGTTTGTTTGTATTTGTAATAGTGCTCTTGAGAATCAATAAGAAAAAATAATAAGCAAGTAACTAGACAGCATGTTTATTTTTATAAATCACTTTTTCGCCTTAGGTTCTTTGACGGCGGTTGGTGCTTTCGTTACGTCATCAGGATTTTCAGCGGCGTCTTTTAGCCTCTTAGCACGAATACCAACAAGTTTGGCGATTGAACGAGCCTGTAAAACATATTAGTATAAATTCTCTCTTCATCTCAATACCTACAATAAGTGTATTTCATAATATAAAAAAAAATATCACAACACTTATCATAATTTGTATTAAAATAATTCTTTTTGTAATTATTATATTTGATAAATTTTTCATTCGCAATGCGAATGTCATACTGAAAAATATTGTTAATGACAAATGCTTAAAAAATCCCCTGGCAGTCTGATGGGACTCGAAACCATGACCTTTCACAACTGAGCTATCCAGGACCTAACAGGACTGACAAATTTATCAAGCACCTGTTGCTTTTTCACTACTACAGAGCATAATTTCATCAATGTTTAGGTAATCTCCCCAAACAGCAGAAAGTAATATTTAAACTTTTGATAAAGCTGAAAATTTGTTCTAATTATTATATTTGATCAATTTGGCGTTCATAATACTATACTGAAATCTTTAACAAAACCGGATACTGCAAATTAAACAGATATATATTAATGCAAAGTGGTCAAATATAATAATTAAACATATATTTTTAAGACATTTTTCATGAAATTAGGTGCCACTGGAAGCAGAACAGGAGCATGAAATTTAAAATATTAAGAAAGTAATTATCTCTTTTACTATAAAAAAATAAATAATGTTAAGCCTAGTGTCACACTTACTCCTCTTAAGTATTGATAAGCTTTGAAGTCTTTCTCTTCCTCAGTAATCGCTCGTGCAATAGACTTCGGTGCAGGTTGTTGGACTGGCATTAATGGTCCACGCAACTGAGTAGCTAACTTGCGCTCCTCTTCATTAGCTTCTCCCTTCAAGACCTGGTTAAGAAAATGAACAAATATTTAATCAAAACTACTATATATCCATGCATATTTTTGCTAAACCCATTATAATAAAAGGTATAATTATTTGGAAACAGGCAGAAATGTAACTCTTATACTGTTACTAATAATATACTTAGGACATCTAGGATGTGATGTTCTATCATAAGTAATTAATTATAACAATTAACATTTTCAGATTTTAACATTTTTCCACCTGGTCTTAGTCATCATCATTGTGACATGAACTATCAGCATCTCTAAGTGGGAGGAATGCCGAAGAGAGTCACACAGTTAGTGTTCTCTAGGAATGACTTATTGATGTATGCTATAGCAACATACTGCTGTATTTATAAATCATTAATAGTAAAGTTGCTATAGCAAATCATAACTCAAGAACTCTGATTTATAAATAATCCCAAAATTGTCCCCATTTAATTATGAATATTGAATAAGAATAGTATTTTTTGTTACATCCTATTTGATGATATTTGGATCACGCATTCTGTTAATTATATGTCAATCATCATAAGTTTACATCAAAAAGTATATTATTCTAAGCACTAAAGTTTGATTAGAAAAAAATTTATACAGTTACTAAATATTCCTAAATTTCTCACATAACTTTCTTATTTTTTTCTTTCATAAGAATCTGACAATAATAAACACAACAAAAAAATAATGTCTGCATAACCTCTTAGAAGCATAAACTAAATAAAACTGGTTTTTGTTTAAGTCCATTTGATTGTTTTTGTTAAAAGGACTTTTCTAAATTAATGATACTAAACATAATTGCAATACCACATCGTTTTTGCCTACTTACGCACTGCAAGTTCTATAATAATATTAAAGTAATAACCTTCTTGCCCTTCGGGAAAAGAATGAGTCGTGCACGATATTCCTTTAATCTCTGTACATTTGTTTGTAGGGATTCAACTGATTTATTACGCCTACGAGGATCCACAGCAATGCCAATTGTTCTGGCAAAAGCAGGATTCAAACCTGCAGCCTGAAAATTTATAAAAAAAATATTTATAGATAATTTAATCTATTAGCACAAGTAATACAATAGTTAGTTGCTACTTAATAAAGAAGTTGCAGCCTGAAAAAATTAATAGAAAATTTAATCTATTAGCACAATTAATATAATAGTTAAGTACTAAAGTTATTAAGTAATAGTACAGCCTATTTTCAAAGTTCTATTTATAGCATCATAAGTAAAGAGAAATTTTTGAGAATTCACTTGGAGAACAATAAAATATGTCAAGTCTCATATGATAACCTAAATTGTTAGTATGTGTTAATTTAAATTAGTTATTTAGAAATATCCGTCTTATAAGTGTAGTACAAATTGATTTTGTTAATAATTCTACTAGGTATGATTATTTTGGTACCCACTCCAGGACAATATTTGAGCGTTTTTATTATATTCTCAAGAAAATGACAATAAATTGATTGAGATATAAGCATTAAGCCGAAAGAGATTATATGATCCTAATAATGATCAGTGCATGGTGCACTCAATAATATTGAGTTAGTTAAATACCATAACATAAATCAACCATAGTATAGAGACAAGACTGAGGTTAGGCAAAAGGTATAATAACACGGGCAATAACTAAGTTTCTAACAGTAAATAAAATTCTTACCCTGATTTCTCTTAAGGTGAAACCACGTCCAGCGCGAACTTTAGTATGGTAACGTACTGTCGGACAACGAACCACCGGTCTCAAAGGCCCAGCAGCGGGTCGAGGCGCAACAGCTTTCGCTTTCTTAATCCTGTTTTGTTTTCTTCGGTATCTTCTGGCTGGTTGGTTGAACCAGGTTTTCACAAACCTTTGCCAATCCTTATGGAAATGGCCATTGGGTATCATATTATTACCCTTACCCATGTTTGTAAAGTGACAACTCTCCTAAAAAGTAGAATTATCTATAAATAACAGTATATATAGGTGACACACTAGTTACACATAAAAAAATTATGAACAATGTCTAAAAGAAATTAAAATCTCCGTATGATTTCAATGGATTTATCCTCAACTAACCTACAACAGTCGTTGACAAATACGAAAAGAAACATGGCGTCCTTATTGGCTGTCAATAGTGATGTATAAGTAGGGATGCACGATATATCATCAAACCTATATATATCGATATATCAATGGCCAAAAGTATTTATACATATCGATGTCATAGAACAGCGATATTGATTTATCGATAGAGAAAAATACTAACATAACTATATATAATATCGAATGAAATCCATAAATTAATTGTATATCAGTTGTCCGAATTTAAACACTCAACTGCATCTTCAAAGTTTAGATATATTTACTTTTACTGGCACTTTTAAACATATTGATCAAAAATACTTGGACATGACATCCCTATAATTTTAGCGTGCCATACCTACTTTTTAATCAGAACAATAAATGGTAGGGTTGGCCTTTCATAAACTTTACTGATATCGATATCAAACCCAACGTATTTTTTATTAACGTAATAATAAAACAGGAATACCATAATTTACAAACTTAACTACATTAAAATATGAAGTCGCATTCCATTAAAATATTAGAAAATATAAAATTAAAACAGTAATTACGTCAATCGAATCACATGTCTACTCAAACACGCTCATCGATAAATAATTTAATATACATAAAAATAAGCCATATTTGACACCAAGCAGTTTTGTCGTTTAAATATTTACTTTACTAAGTAGACAAATCTTAATAGTGGTTTTAAATTTAGGCAAAATGTTTATTGGAATTTTGTTTTAGTCGTGTATACTTCGACCCATAAATGTTGATAGAACCTTCTTTAGTCTGCATGACGGCAAAACAAATTTATCTTTATTTCTAGTATTAAAATGTGTACATGCCTATGTTTAATGTAATTGTTAATATTTTTCTTACATAAAGTATACAATTGTATATCAATTGAGAGGCTACTGTTTTTATCCCTTACTTCTCTTTTTTGTAAAATAAACAGACTATATCTGCAGCCATTTCCCACATCAGAATGCCATATGACATAACGCTATGGAAATATAGGAACCATAAGGTTGTTGACTGTGGTCCTACTGGATGATGGAGACAACTGGCCGGCCTGGGAGACCAAAGGATAATTATGTCCCTCCGAGTTAGATGTTGTTAGTCCGGAGACCGCAGTCCAACCATTGTAGGTAGGAGGTTCTACGAGTATTTATGCTAATTGTTAATTAAACTTATTGTGGGCGATATAGGTTTCTTTGTTCTAATTGCCTTATAGTTATTAATTTATAATGTTTGTATTGGTTCAGCGCCATCTTTACTTGTTTGCTGTTGAAACTGCTTGCAGTTTGTCTAGCTATCGTTTGCTGTGACGACGCTAGTCTTCTCGCTATCGATTGTTGTGGCGATGTTAGTGCGATGAATTGGATGTCACTACGTATCAGTCGCCACAGAAATAACTAAAGTAAGTACATCTGTGAGTTGCCTAATTTTGCAAAGACAGCTGAACTTAGTTTTGGTGCAAATAATCATACGAAAACTGAACTTGGTTGGACCCCATTGCATTCAGCCGGATCCGGACCTTATTAAAAAAGCATTGTGTGATTTAAAGAAATCACGATGCAAGTGAAACTTTTATCAGATTGTAGGTGTTCAACTGAAAATGTTTTCGGAAAATCATTTGATATAAGGTATCACAATCGCGTTTTTCACCTTAAACCATTTAACACAATAATGAGGACGTACCACGGCGACCTCTAGTTAGATTTCGGGAACTAATGTTTTTTTTTAAATACTTCCTTATTGGAGAATGACAATAGGAAATCATTAGCAGACAAGATATCTAATGAAGAAGTATTTAAAAAAAAAATAGTTCCCGAAGTTAAACTAGATGACGGTACTTCTTGATTTCTCCAAGACAATCCTTCCGGTTTTATTTTCAAATTTCAGTTTATTTATTTTGTTATTCAAAAGTCTTTGGTCCATTAGGGGAGACTGAGGACACTTGATCCTTACGGGAGACTAGATACAATGGATTTCCAGAGCGTCTGTAAACACTATATAATTTTAGACTGTCAAAATTTGTAGTCTTTGGGTCGTTCTCCATTTCTAAAGTTAGCACTCCTGTAAAATTTAAGAGTTGTGCAAATGGCAGATGTTTATGTGTTTCGTGTTGCAGACAAATATTTTTTGTATGTTTTTACTTTGATTAAATAATTGATTAGTAAATTTATTTTGTATATGTATCACTTTTAAACTAGTCGTTATCTATGTGAGAAAACATCTGTTTTATAGAAAAGTGTTAATATTGGTAGATTTTTGTAAAATCTTTTTTTATAACCTCAACATACCTAGGGTACACATGGTACACTTTCTTATAGGTGATATGACCCCACCGGATCAATGTCTCCTAACTTTTTTTTAATATAATTTTAGGATTAAATATGCATATACAAAGAATTATCATTACATGTACCCGAAGCCACTAGCTTGTCTCGCGCCACCGCTTTTAACAGACACAACGTTAAAAATTTCTTTGAAAATTTGAAATGCTTATTGCAGCGCTATAATTTTGGTCCCGACCAACTTTGAAACGTAGGTTCATAAGCCAAAAAAAAAATTAGCATGTGCCTCGTGTGTTCATAAGTTTCAAGAAAAAACTTTTTACTGAAAAATAAAATGTTACTGGCTGTTATTTTTTTTGCCGATTTTGAATTTGAAATGTTAACTTTTAGTTTATTTGTATCGCAAATTTAACTGCTTGTTGATGGGGGTACGAAATAATTATGTCCAACTGTCATTTTATTTTTTAAGGCGGGAAAAAAACCGATGCAGATTTTCCCCGTGCTAAAAGTTTTCCCGTGAGCCAAGAGACTATTATTTCGCGTGTTTCAGTGAACAGAATACTGAAATATGATCTAAAGGTTGTTAAGGTTGTTGTTAAGAGGCCTATAGCCATAGGAAAGTTAACTTTTTAAACGATCGCCTTCGTCAGTTACGACGCAAACGCTTTCCATTACTGCTGAGGAGACACGATGCCAGGAAGATACTCTTCACTGTCGAGAAAATTTTTACTGTCAAAGAAAAGTCCAACCGATAAAACAATAAAATGTGCGCTAAAATAAGCAAGGATGTCCCAGCTTCTGCACGGAATGTCTCGCGCACTCATCACCCGGCTAGCGTGATGGTATGGTGGGGAGTTTTGTATAAATGCTATAGGTACCTTCCGCCATTTACTACTAAGGAAATAAATCAATGATATTGAAATAAAAATAATAAATTTTAAACGTATTTTTCATTTTCTTCTGTATTGGCATCATATGATCCTATATGTGGGAGAATTGTTCCTGCCAGGATCAAGTGTTCCACATAGTTGGGATCAAGTCAGACATATATATGGGCACTTGATATCATTTCTGTACGAAGTTTTCGTACGCTGGTTATTTAATTTTTATACCGATATCATTAGCTACTATACTTAGTATAGTTAATAAAATTTCACGTAATTTAGTACAAAAATAATTAAAATCGGGTCAATATTTACAAAATAAGGGCCAAAAAACAAAAGGGGGGATCAAGTGTCCCAGTCTCCCCTACATAGTTTCTTGCAAAAAATCAACTTTTGCTAGAGTCGCCATCTAGTGGAGGTGCTTTTTTAGTGCTTTCGTTTTCAAATACTTCCTCATTAATTTATTCATCTCGAACGTAAAAAAATAGTGCGATTATTATATTACTGATGAACTGTGGATGGGTTCATGAAAAGATTTTGATGCCCCCTCGTATTAAAGCGAAATTTATGTACCAAGATATTTTACTCTTTATAGTTTATATATTATGTCACGGATGTACTATAATTATATTTACTCTCAGCGAGTCAATTAGCAACGCAAGAAAAGAACTTCCGGCCTTCTATAAATTATATAATTTGTGTTTCTAAGAAGCGTTTGATTTATAGCAGCCGAATTATTCGAGTTAACGTTGATTTCAAACTTTGATATTCCGATGAAGAACAAACACTACGCAACCTATTATACTTCTACCATACTTTTATAAAAAAATTAAATTTTAAAGCCATGAACATAATTTGAACATGAAGTTAGGGTTTGCAATAATTATTGTGAAATTGAAATATGAGTGCTTTTATAGAACTTAATTTTTTCTTGTAACGTATTTTCAATAACTACTCTAAAATTTCAAAACTTTAGGTTTAATTTTTGTTAATATTTTGAGTTCATTAATGCCTATAACTGTATGTTACTTATAATAAAATAAAAACAAAAAAAAAACAATGTATTGGGAACAAAGTAAAACCAATCTAAAGCAATTTCTGTCTTTTATATATAAATATTACTCTGATATAAACAAAACTTTTTTAGTTATTGATTTCGTCAGCAATCGATGGTCGATAACTTCTCTCTTTATGTAAAAGTATAGCGCTTACTAATAATAGAAGTAACAATGTTAAAATCACTCCACACATTGCGAACATACCACCTCGCAATCGATAGTCATCTGAAATCAAAACAAACCTATCAAACACATTGACTTTATCATTATCAATCACTTTTTAGTAACACTTACTACCAATTAAGGTTTGTTTATATTTTTACATCGGTATTGAAAGAGGCAGTCACGTTTCGTGAATATTTGCCAAGATTCGACAGAATCGTAACAAGTGATAAAACGAGGTAAAACGCGTTTATCGCTACCACTATAGTCCAAAGTAAACAGAAGCCGATAGATAGATAATCTGATATGCACCAGATCATCTCAAGAAATTTAAAGTAATGGTCTCAGTTATGTTATTTTAAGACTCTACAATAATTTTATTGATCGAGTAGTACACGAGGTGAAACTATAAACATAGCTCCTTACACATCATTTAGGTTGAAGGTAAGCGTAATGTATCGCTATCCATAGAACTGAGGGATTAATGTGTTTATTGAAGTTAAGGTGATGTTTTACGAAATTACCACTTTTAAAACCAATTTTATACTAAAATACAAACATTTTTACATGTACAAACAACAACAAATCTCTCCTCCTCTGAAGTTGTTAGACCTCACTAAGCTAACTCGGTGGTTGGCTCTGTAAGATCTAAATAACTTGTACTGAGGATACTCCTACGAGAGGCGAACACGTATAAAGTGGATGTTGCGAGATTTGTATAGATTTGTGGCGTAACGTCTAAACCACTAAAACTAGGTAAGTTATAATTTACCCTTTTGCGATGTCAGTTGTTCAGTGTGTATTGATGTAGAAAAATAGCTATTGAGCTGTTGCAAGTATTGAAGCCAAAACGTAGCATCTTTGTTCACGTTGTTTGTGTTAATATTATTTTCATCGTTATGTATTCCGTGTACATAGGCATCCCCAAACTTGTATCTCTTCCAGTTATTTTCTGGCACAGGTGATCTGAAAATAATTATTTATCTATCAGTTTCATTCACTTATATTTTTTGTTTGTTTAGATTTTTTATTTTGACATTTTAGCAGAGATGAACAATACCTAGTTAACGCATTTGAGAAGTTATTTTATGAATTCTTTGAGATTCTTATATAACTAATAACCTAGCTATTTTCCAAGGGACTTACACCAAAAATAAATAAATTCTATTGGTTTTGCTTAAAAAGTAAAGTCCAAATACCCTCTCTCACAAACTTAATCATATACCTACACTATCTACTCACCGAGAGGCACTAAATCACAGACTTTACTGTTGTTGTGTTTAAAATTTATTTTCTAATTAAACTTTGCAGCTTTTTAAGATAAGTTATGATCTTAATTTGAATAATTGATTTTAATTGCTACTGTGAGAATTGTTTAATAATTGAAAACTACTAGAATTATAATTTTGATTAAACTTATCATAAGGAATTTCATTAAAATATCATCTTATAAAAAGGGAGGAGTACTGGGGCTTGAGATTCATATTTATTCTATTAATCTAATTCAAGCACAGATGCTACACATTTGTAAGATTGAGTACATAAAAATATAATGTCTTTCTAAAAATACATACATAAATTGAGTTAAATTGAATGTTAAAATAAAGTTTATATTTAAGCTTAAGTTAAAAATGAGAAGTCAACACCATATTTCTGAGGACTTATCAGAGTCAATACGTGAATATTAAATTTATTTTCGATAAAAATACATCACAAGGTTGCAACTAAAATTCATTATTTTTACCATTTCCTCCCGCAATTTGTTTTTATAGGGAAAATTAAATAGGGCCGAGTGTTATATGTATGATAATCAAAACTGTGAGCGAGTAATTAATTACAAATCGTTTTTGACGCTTAATGTGCCATCAACTGTCTGTGTAGGTATACAACATAGTGTCGGGCGTGTTAATTTCGTCTAGTGTTCTGTTTTGACTTTTCACACATGGGAGCAACCGCCTAACTCTCTTACTATATCTCTAGCCATAGCTATAAAAACGTTTTATATTTTATCAATAATCTTAAGTTACGGTGAGTGAGGTAGGTAGCCGCTATCTAGACTATATAAACGGCAAGATCATAGATAAAGCCAAATTATTTGATGTAAATAAATTGATGTGATGTTAATAATAAAAGCAAAAGATTGGTGTAATTTATAACTCTACCTACTTATTTTAAATAAACACTCTTGTTTTTTAAGATAAATATACATTTATATGACGTATTGTGACCTTTTTATTCCTATTTCATATTGTTTCATACATTAGAATGAAACGGATTTATTTCAGTCGCTACAAAATCGACATGCAAATGTATGTATAAAACCAATGATTATTATATAAACATATTTTTTAGTCTTTAACTAATAAATGTATGAAACGGTGATATCACTGATTTACTTCCGCCGTATCAAAACGCAACAAAACACATCTACTCAAAAAAGCACTATATTAGCACGTTACTTACCCAAATTTAATGAAATTGATAATATATTGACGAAATAATGAAGTTATTCTTTTTTGGTCTTGATCACTTGGTTGGCGAGCCACTTGAAGCATCAAAGCGTCTCCTAATAACGCTATTAAATCAACACCATGTACTGCACCTTAAATATTTTAATATCATTGAATTGAATTATCGATTGTTGAGTCTTTTATCATAAAAACATGAGGACCCCGAGATTCAGATTTATTAAAAATACCTCCTTAAGGCTCAGTAGCTACTGAATTTTAAAATTGCGTCCTAAAATATGTACATTTTAATAAATGAAAAAATATTATGATCGTTAGGTACTTTAAGTTACCAGGACACCACTACCTATATTACCATTACCTGTGGCATTGTGGTTAGGTATTATGACGACCGCTGACCTATTTATCTTCAAAGCAACTAGTATAGAATGGACGAAAAGAGCAATTTACCATAAGTTGTTTTTATTTTGAAAAATCATTATTTTAATATGATATTTAATTCATAATAATCGAATTTTGTTTTGGTTTAAATAGATCTATTAATGTTTATAACACCAGGATTTCGAATTCTCTAGTAATGTATTGTCGTATAATGTATATCAATCAAATATTTGACCTAAATTTTCAATAAGTATAGATAATGTATAGTATTATAGGTGAAAAGATTTATTATTATTACTATTACCCGTGAAATTCAAATGATTTCCACGGAGATCAACGTTGCCTGGTTGTAAGTAGCGATAAACATAGAGCCGTGATATCTTTCGAGCTAGTCTAGCCGCTAACAAGGCACTGCCTACGCCCCATTTAGCTGAAGATTCCATTCTAGCTAAACCTTCAACAGTCTCAAAAGTGCCCCTTTCGATGTCTTTTCTTCCTTTGGTACCCCAAAATTCCCAACGAACGGCATGCGCTAACTGTAACGATATAAAGTATATTAATATTTATATGAAAATCTTTTCTAACTGATCTAACTTAGTACTACTAACCATTGGTAAAGCGTCATTTTGGTCTAAAGAGAACATTTTTAATAATTCAGGTATTCTTTTTGTGTTAGTATATTCGACAATATAAGATGGAGATCGATTGATTAAGTCTGTATAATAATCATCTGCAACAAATCAAAATAAATAATTATTAACAAACTTTATGGAACTGCGAGTAAGTGGTAAAAGAGGCGGGCTTAATGCTGATAGCATTATCTGCCAGTCATACTTTGGGAAATCGGTAAACACGATAGCAGCATAAAGTGAAGTAACTAATAAACCGATACTTAAAATAAACTATAAATGAATTGATTACAAATATGTAATAGAGTATATCACATACATATAAACATATGTTTTTAACTTGTAATATTTATGCAATTTATATTTTTTTAATAAAAGTGAGTGATGTTATACCGATTTTACGGTCCCTTCCCTAATACTAACCATTATGGTTGACATCTTCCAAATCAGTTGTTCCAAAAAGAACGTCAAGTTGTAACGTCGGCTGATTAGACGCCGATAATGCGGCTGCTAATGATACCGGTAAATATTGTTCAGAAGTTGGCAGAAAATCATCCGGTATTAACTGTAAGATCTTGCTCCAATTTGCATTCTGAAAAATCAGGGCTAGAGCAATAAAGATTATTAGCAATAAAGATTATAGAAGAATAAAGATTTTTTTTGTATATCACTTAGTGATTTGATTTTGACGATATAATATATATTAGAATGTTCTAATAACGTCATTGCTTCACTAAAATTGCATTAGTATAAATTGTTCGAATTAAAAATACAATAACAAAAAATATCCATACAAAGCAATAAACATTTGATGCAACTAATTACTAATTAATCATACTCATACATAATGAAAGTCTCCAAAACGTGAAAGTAATACTTACATTAATAGTAACAGCATATCAAGTTACCGTATGGCAAATTTATAGAATCATCTTTTAACATAATTATGTTTAGATTCAAATTTCAAATTGATTGGCAAAAGTCGTCTGTTTTTATAAAATATGACACGTTGTTTACTTAACGTGGAAAACACGAATATACATATATGCGTATTTGAGCTAATGCGACAGTTTTCATTGACATAACCTTAGATTTAATGTACTTATCTTTTCTTTTTATAACTACAAAATTATTGCTTTTTAAATAAAGATCATATGTTTTTGGATATTCCATTATGTATACAGTTTGAAACTAATATGAATTAATTACATAAAAACATTAAAAAAGGTATACCGAATATAAAGAAACAATATTGGCCAATGGCCTCTCCCGCATACAGTGCAATATTTCTTGATCTATATTGCTGGAGCATCCAAGACTTTGGGCCACTTTACGTGAAAGTTCTTCGACTTCAGTAGAATTAACAGTTTTGTTTTCATCTACCGCCTTCCAAATATCGCGTGGTGACATCAGTATTGCTCTTTGAAATAGGCCTATTAAAATGAGAGAAAAATAACTATCTCATAACATTATTTAAGAAAATGACAATCGTCGTTAAGTTGAAACCTCTGGTATTTGTGTCCAAACGCTCTGGTTAACTGTACAAATTTTGCTCTTAATAAAAGACATCAACGCGTCAGTTGTTGTCAAATTGTAGGTTATAGAATACAACATTTTTACTTTAGCACATGTGAGTAAACGTTAAAATGGATCTCTAGAAGAATGTTTTTTTTTGTGCAAAAATGGTTCAATCTTACTATTAGTATCAGCTAGCACGCGTAGCATGACAAATTATAGAAAAAATTTATTCAGTGACGGTGCCAGACTTAAAGTTTGTAATTGTAGGCTTTAATTAGGGCCTTCCAAAGGCTGGCTATATAATAATATAATAGGCGCAAAGAGAGGTATTTTCGGAAATGGTAATTTTTTTAATAAAACAAGCCACAAGTCGTCTACAGTAGGCATGAAAAATTTAATGAAATAAATATTTTCTAGGCAATTATATAAAGGAGGAGCTCAATGGCGCAGTGTTTAGCGCGTTCGGTCGACGTTTTGTTGAAAAGCAACTTTCGCAATAGCCGGGTATAGGATGGGTGCCAAAAAATTTATTATCTCGAGCTCCTTCATATTTCGGAAGGCACGTTAAGCCGCTGGTCCCGGTTACACCTGCAGTCGTTAATACCCACCAATTCACACTTGGCCCGTGGTGTGTGGGTCGTGGTCTATACTTCCCCACCAGTGAGGACATTAAAAGGCTGGTGAATGTAATGATGATAAAGGCAAGCAGACGACCTACTACGCGTGCCGAACTTTCTTTCGACATAATTGTCCATAGGATTTATGACTACTTTTTTTTCGTTAGGTAGATAGTTGAAAAATTTTAAAAACTTTTTTCTGTTTTGTGTAACACAACTCCTCAAGTTATCATCCGTTTGACGATATAGTTGCCAGGGTCGTTCATAGTATGGGTGAGCAAATATTTATCTAGAGATAGTCCATTTTCGGAAGGCACGTTGAAGACATTAGTCCCGGATATGTGAAGTCACCAACGTCCACAAATTCGCACTAGGCCCACATAGTGGTCTATGACCTCTATTTCATTCCATTCATAAGGAAACATGTGCCCCAGCGGTGGTGGCATTAATAGGTTGAAGTATAATCATACTTCTACTCTATCGGCGATCGTACAGTGTTGATGAATAAACCATTGTACATATTTAGTAACATTTACAACTATACATATATTGGTTCGGGTGACAATCGGGCGTCAACGAGTACAGAACAATTACAGGAATGCAGGATGCCAATTGTCCCATTTGTTTTTTTTTTTTATTCTTTTGGTGCAACGTATACGAGTTCGCACAATTTCAAGATTTAATTTAGTTTAATAAAGTTAACTTAATCAACTTTAATAAAAAATATTACCAGCTGCACGCGGCGACACAATGTGATGCAAGATGCTGTCAGCTCCAGCCGAATGTCCAATAAGTACAATTGTTGACGGATCTCCTCCAAATGCTGCTATATTATCGCGTACCCATAAAAAAGCTAAATACTGGTCAAGTAAAGCGAGATTTCCTCTAGCCATCAATGACCGCAAAGTAAAAAATCCCAGAAGATGTAGTCGATAAGAAACGGTCACAACCACAATTCCTTCAGCTGCCAATTCTTGGCATGGTAGTGACACTCCTGCGCGATCCCAAGATTCACTGTATAGTATGATAGCCACAGGCATCGACTTTCCATCTGAGCGCTACCTAGAACATTGGAAGTATCATCACTTTGAGCCTTGATTCTGTTATCGTTAATGGTGGCATATAAATAAATAAAATACCTAAGCTCCGAAACTATAAACCATTTCAAAAATTCCTTCATCTTCGGAAGCTATGCTTTAGTTTACGCGATCGAAATCGCAGCAACAACTAGCAATTGAAAAGGAAGAAAGTACCAATTTAAAAAAAACAACAATTTGAAGCTAAAAAATGGAAATAAAAATAATATTATATTTTACTTAAAATGGCTTTTGTTTTATTTATTACACTACACTATTGATTAATAGTTATATAATCGTTATACATGTAAACAAATTATTTATTTACAAAATAAAATATACGTATTAACAACCAGGATCCATTAAAATTTTTAGGGCACCATGAAAGAATGGGCCGACTGTTGGCTGATAATTTGTTTATGTATCGATTATAAAACTATTAATTAGTGGTCTAGTTGTTCAGAATTACTTAAAATAACATTCTAAGAACTGGGCTTGGTTTTTTCTTTTTGTTTTTTTACATAGTCGGGTTTTTGTTTTTATATATTTTTTTTATTTTACATCTTGTCATTTCATTGAGGGGATGGGCAATATTGAGGGGATTATTTAGTCATATACAATAGTTTAAGTTACTGATTATTAATCCTTTTAGAGGCCTAACTCTGCACAAACTCTTCTCCTACGGATATCCTCATTTCTTATTCGATCACGTAGGGGAACACCAAGCATTACTCCCTCCATTGCCCGCTGGGTGACCTTAAGCCTTATTGTGAGATTGGCATCACACACTGGTCGAAGACTTTTGTTTTGAGACACTGGGATAAATCAGACGCGATGATTTTGCGTAGGTTCCCAAACCAAGATTCGACAAGAGATCACTTTCTCAAAGTTGGACTTACCAAGCTGGACTGCCTGTGCAAAGTATAAGTAATGGTCGATAATTTCGAGTGTAGTATTCCCAATTTTGACTGGAGTGGGCATTCATCATGAGCATTCTACATACTTGTAGAGATTTTTCTAGGTTAAGGAGGGATTATATTTTATTTGTGTCAAGAAAGTAAAAAAACATAGAACGGAGAGACGACACAGGAGAAGAGGAACAATTCCCTTTTTATCAAGCCCTTTTTTACAATTATTACAAATCTAAATGTAATCTCGACGCTGTGATCGACAGCAGGATTGTTGCTGCAGATACGGTATTTGGGCTCCAAGGTCTTCCGCTCAAATGCCCCAAAGTTGACCACCAAAATACATTTTGCCTACATATCATGAAGATCAGAAAGTCCTATCGGGTGCGTCATACTATAGTTTTAAGACCACCCAATGTCGATGGCATATAGACATACTTAATACATCGGCAGCGTTTGAAATTTTCTATTATCATACTATCAATGTTATTTACTTGTAATTTGGTGCTAAATAAACAATTTTCTATTCTATTCTAAATAATACAGGACTGTGTATAGTACAGCCAAGTAAGGAATTTTGAGCAGAACCGTCAAGCAGATCTTGAGTAATCTTGATACTAGGCGTAACGACCTGAAAAACCGGCCAGCTGCTGCCACTCATTTCCACTACGCAGACGGAGTACTTAGTGGTCTCTTTGCTCAATGGCGTTCTTAAGTCGGCTATGATAGCCATCTTAGAGAGCATCAGCGTCAACCAGACTAAGAGCCTAAGCGGTCGCCGTGGTCTAAATCAGATGGAAGCATCATCATCATCATCATTTTTAAGAGTTCAAAAGTTTTTTTTTGACAATTGTGAATATGACATATTATAAACGCTCGAGCATTCCCGCCAAAATAGTTGTGTATGAGTAAAAATAAATTAAAATATATAATATATAAAAGTAGAGAGTCCGCCAATGGCAATTATAAACAGTCATAAATTTAAAATAAGTTTACGATTCAGCTTTGCTTTAAAACTGAATGGTGAAGAATCAGAATTTTAATAAAGTGTGTTGGAAATGGAGTAGCGAGCTACACTAGCGTGTCGGCGTGGCAACGCGTATCTCAGTTTAGACTATTTAATTTACTTTTAACTCAAAATTATAAAAAACCGAATTTGAGTTTGAAAAAAAAAGGATTTTCAAAGGTTTTGCAATCTCAAGAGATGGATGCTGATCTGATGATCCCATAATTATGAAACACGTGTTATTAAAACCATTATTAACATAATAAACGTTTGGTCGTCGCCAAAGTGTCTTATGAGCTTCAATTTTATTCAAGCAGGTGTCTATAAAATGCTAACCCGTGATGTCCAAATATTTAAGTATAAGCAATCTTCATTATAACTTTCTCCTTTAATTGCATCCTCAGCTTGTGGACACCTGGGAGGCATACGATGTGCAAAAAATGTTCTCCTCCAACCGGGATGTCGCTCTGGCGCCTTTCAAATAGAAAAGAAATGGATTAAGGCGTCTACATGAAAATCAATGACTTTCATATGGTTTATGATAATGAAAAAAAACCATCACATATCTGCTACTGCAAAAACGTGCTTTATAAAATTTTCTCGTTGAATTCGCCATTTATCAATTTCTTGTAATTTTATAAAGGAAAAGTTGATAAATATAGTGAGTCACTTCGTAGCTGGAATCATCCAGCATTTACACAATAATCATAATAGTTGAGTTTTGCGTTTTCAATATAAGATTGTGTATTTAAAAAAAATACATTTTCATACTTACAGAAAATCTGTGGCGTCCGGTAGGTGCAGTTGCATATGGAATCCCAAAAAATATTTCTACCGGGTTCAAAGAGTTTTCAGTGTATACTTTAATCTGAAATTAAATATAAATATTAGAAATTACATTTTTCTGATTGTTTTACGGAAGCCCAAAAGAACTCAGGTAACGCGGTACCCAGGACGATGTAGAAATCTTATAAATGAATTCAATTTTAGAGATTGCGACACCTCACTAGCAACCTGCGCGTCACTTTGGCCTCGGACGTCGACAGATAAAAGGAAATATTAAGGTTAATGGGCAGTTACATTGGGAAAAGGTACCTACAGTTGGAAGATAGATTTTTGTGAATTTGTGGAGTTTTTAATAATTCTGTAATATTTGGATTAGGTTCAAGTCCACAAATAGTCCATTTCGCAAAATATACTACCGATCACATAAGAAAGACATGATCTGTATCTGAAACAAAATAAGATTTGTTTCACATTGTTGCAAATCAGAATTCAAACATGTTATATAAAAACTAACTAAAAGTCGTAAAACTATTTTGGGCTTGTACCTTTTGGCAAGTGATATTAAATGCGTAGGGTAAATTGACTAGAACACAATACTTAGGGCGCAACCGTAAAATTCTTATGAAATAACTTACCCCAACTATTCGGCCTTGAGGTAAATTAGCAACGGGATCTTGCATCACTACATACGAAAGAATAAAAATCCAGGACGCCGTGTTTTTAACTAAACACCAAATTATATTACTAGTGTAATACCAGTTAGCGCACATCTTTAAAAATATATTCCCAATAACTAAAATAGCATATAAATTATCTTTATTTTCAACACGTTCGTTTTCGCTTTAAAGAATTACGTTACTGATGTCCTGTGATTATACTGACTGGTCATCAGATTCGACACAATAAAACAGATCATACAATGGTTATGCTTCAGCCCATGACGGTAATAGCGTAACGAGAGGGACTTTATTGTTCTAAATCCGTTCACAATACATTTTGCGTCAATTTTGAAATCCGTAATAACATAATAAGTATGTTAATAGGCAAATAGATAGATGCGTATTTATAATACTTAGATTGACGGCCGGTTTCTGAATTGAGAAAAGTACAAAATCTCTACTGATTCTCAATAGCTTAAGCTTTTTACTTTTCACAAAGCTAAATGCCCTTGTTTTTATCGAACTGCTATTTACTGATCCTTAATAAAACAGAATCGAGAACTTGTTTAAGTGACGTTTAAGTACACTTTGAGACGTGCTTAACCTTAAATACTCAATTCAGAATCCGAGTGTATGTTGTTCAGCTTAATTCTTTATGATTTAAGATTAATATGTTGTATTTAAATCACCTCCATAGGTTGCCTGGAAGAAATTGCTGCTTAGCAATAAGGCCGCCTTTTGTATATTTTATTTTAATTTTTTATTCTCTGAACTTGTTTTTGTTCTGTTGTGTGCAATAAATTATATTATTATTATTATTAATTTTGAACACTTGGTAATTTTGTTTGATTAATGGGGATGACGACTAATTGTTTGTCCGTCAGGCCAATATTATCGAAGAATATTAAATAAAAATTTTATTTTTTGCGTAATCCTAATCAATTAATTACGGCGATACGTTCAGTTGAAATGTTGCATGACGTCACGATTTTGTACATTTTCTATAAAAATGTCCACTCTTCAACTTTAATTATATTAAAATTATATTGAAGCAAATAAAATAAATAAAACAAATGTGTCTAATATTTTTCTATCATCTGACTGACGGACTAAATAGAATTTCTTTTTGATTAACCCAGTCGTCATCCTTATTATATTTCGCAGCTTCATTCGAGGCGATTTATCTACAATACCAACCTCTTATCGATAAAATTGACAGTGAGAGTTAATAGTTGAAGAGTTTCTTGAGAACACTAATTAGCCAAACGTCTGAATGGATTACTTATTTAAAAAGATAATATGAGAAGTACGGTTATCAGACTCGCGATAATGAAGTAAATATAAAAATGGGCCTCTCATAAACTCACACTAGATTTTATTTTCATTCAATACCGTGTCGATATCTACACAACTATATTTTTACTGAACTTACTGCTAAATATAATACATTAAGAGTGTTTGTGGCACTTTTCTTGTGAGAAGAATCGAAGAGAAAAGCGAGAAGAGAGTCATTAGTATTTGGACGTAAAGTAAAAAATTGGTAATATTATAAATGTGAAAATTTCTTTGTTTGGATGTTTGTGCGCCAATCACGCCGAAACTACTTAACTGATTTTGATGAAAATTGATATACAGATAGGGCATTAGCTGACTTAGATAATAGGATACTTTTTATCCCACTAAATAGTTCCCTAGGAACCACGCGGGCGAAGCCGCAGGAGAAAGCTAGTAAGAAAATATGTATTGAAAAATAAGATATATTATCACAATGAGTAAATCTTTATAGTACAAATAATTTTTCAAACTTGAAGTACAATACTAATTCTCGTTCAACGAAAAATTAGATGCATTAAACTTTAACAGAACTATACGCTATGTCCAGCTTTTTTAAAAACATTTTGTAATAATAATTAACAGGTTGATTATTAGCAAATCCTATTGTAGCTAACATTAAACCATAGCCCAGTAAAATGGAGAATAATTTATGTCTCGATACCCATTGACGAAAACCAGCAGCTGAAACAAATAAAACAGTGTTAATTAAGCGGTTGGTTGGTCGTCGCCCTAGTGCCAAGAGGGCTTTATACCTAAGTATTTTCCCAACCAGCCCTGAGATTCAGTAAAAATCCAAATCCGAATTCCAATTCACTTCAAAAAGCGGCATCCACTCAATATTGATATTTTTATTTTATTTTTATTTTGGTACAGCAACAGAAAACAACACATGCTTACAATTAGGTAAAATTAATTAATTTCATGCTTATTTGCCTTCTTATTGCTGCTGCACACAACACTTTAATAGTACACTTATCAACAGTAAACATGACGATGAATATTCAAATAAAGTTAAAAATAAATAAGTTCAATGATAATAGAAAATTAAATCAAAATATTAGCATAATTATTGTGAAATTTAGAAAAAGAAAATGTCATCAAAATAATTATTATAACAGTTATTACATTTAGATACATCATAATTTAGACCTGAATATTCTTATGTAGGAATGATAGGAGAGTGAAATTGGTAATAAACAACGTTTCGTGGTATAAGTGAAGTAAGTTTCAAAATGACAGGAATAGATTATCTGAGACACCTATAATCAATCAATATTGTCTTATATTTTTATACAAAAATGGAATCCGTATTCAGATTTTTACAGAATCGCCCTGCAGTGCAGACACGTGATATTGCGCAACACACATTTTTTATTACCTTATTTTGCAACTTTTTTTATTTTATAAATAAATAATGCATGAATATCTGGTGTAAGTAACAGCATGTCTGCGATTAATGGTTTCGGTGATATGGTGCTGTTTGGGGAACGGCTGCTGCTTCAGCCGAAAACGCTCCTATAAATTCAAAGCACTAAATGACGTCACACAGTGCTAAGGTAGCGAAAAACGTATGGGCGTCTGGGTAATATTTGTGCGTTTATGTTTACAGTTTTTAAAATGAAAGTTTTTATGTTTCATGTAATTACTTTAATATCATTTGTATGTTAGCAAAATTTTGTATTATATTTTCCCTAGTTTTTTCAAATTTTCAAACAGTAATCTTTTCTAACTCAATAGGAACATTACTTCATATTAAATGTACACAAAAATATGAGAAAATTAATAAAGTATTAGTGGAAACGATAAACAAAACAATGTAGTACATACTATATATTATTCTTAGGGCAAGTCACAAAATGGACTATGACAATGTGTATATATATACATATCGCTAATCTCTATTTATAAGACGTTATAACAGTAAGTGTTATAAATATATATTGTTTACCATTCCGATCGTTCACACTTGGTGTTGGAAAACGCATTGATGCAGGTTGTTTGGCATACACCAAGAGATACCTTAGTCTTACTAAATCACAGTTCGTTACAATATATTGCGACAGAGTTTGTTCTTCAATACCAGTCTCTGAAATCAATTTGTTCTTTTCTTCTGTATAAATACCATCCCCTGAAAATAAATAAATATATTATTGATATTTAGGAGTCGTAAACCTTTGATCTACTAATTAAATTTAAGCCAGTTGGATAATTCGTGAAAAAACCTCAATTGAACCATTTAATTTATGTTCACAAAAATGCTTAGGAAAATACAAATACAATTAAAACTATAAATTTATTCAAATTCAAAAATTCTAGTGGTAAACTTGTAACTTTATTATTCAACATTAAACTAATTGGGAACATCGTTTTTATTTCAATTAATAGAGCGTAGGTAATAATGGCTAATTTTATTTTCAATTTTTTTTAGTAATTTGACTAATCAAGCTTGGCATATCATAATATTTTTTTTTTGAGAAATACTCAATTGAGAAATCATTGAGAATTGAGAAAATATAAAAAATTAATAACCGTAAACGCGGTTGACTTTCAAAGTCCTTTTAATTGTTATATTTATATCAATTTTGCATTCACAGTGTTATCTTGAAAGATATTCTTAAAGAAAAATGCTATAAAAAATCTATCAGTCCCAGGTATGGGACGTGAACCTCTGAGATGTGACTCGCTCTAACCACTGAAACTGTCACTAAAGTAAGGGCGCTGAGTTATTTATTACCGATTAGAGTTTTTTAAAAGTTTATCGATATAACCTTGCACGGGCGACACATTTACCGAATGATGTAGTAGAATGACCTCTTTTTTTTTATAAAACTTTATGTAAAAAAATCAGGGTGAAGTAATAATCCAATAACTCTGGTTTGAAAACTTAAAATAGTTTTTAAACAATAAGAAAACATTTAAATTTGTTCTTATTATAAGAGCGCTTATACAAGGCTAATTGTTTTTTGAAAAATACATATTGCAAAAATATATTATTCAAATTTAATTATTGAACAAAACTTTAAGCAAATAAGATAAAGCAATTCAACTTCAAATTAACATTTATAAAACAGAGAAATGGTAAACTGAATAATTTGGGCGAATATTCGGTTCGGTAAAGGTTATTGTTTGGAGAGCGGGGGTGGGCAGTGTTGGAATGTTCAATTAAAAGTTTATGTTACACCGTTATAAAGTTATTTAATGTTACTAAGTTACAAATGTACACGCGACGGCGGAATTGTACATACTAACTTAAAAACTAATTGACTGAAGCAAACGTCATTCGGTTCGGTAATATTACACCGAACAGTTATAACGAATAGCATTCGGTATTTCGTATATTTTTAAAATACTACGTTTATTGTACGGGAGTTCCTAAAATATTAATTTATTCTATTTTTGGTTGAATGTTGAATTTACGTAGATTTTTAACAATGGATTTGATTTTGATGTCGATTTTATGGTCGCAAAAGATCTGGTGGCCATTGACCTTTCTTGCCTAAATCATTATCCAGAACTAGATACATTGCGTGCTCGGCTCATCACTCGGTACTAACGATTCATCGCACTTCAAATGTTGCTCAGCTACATAGCAATAAAATCTACGTAAGTACGTAAGTAAAGATAATTTTAAAAATTCTGTGATTGGATAGTATACCCTAATCGTGTACTTCACCACGGAAGGATATAGAATAGTCACAATTTAAAAGTTGAAAATTTTCGCTGGTTATTCTACCTTACCTGTAAATATAAAGGTACTTTCCTAAATAAACTTGTGCTTGGCTGAAGATAGTAATAAAACAGGTAAATATCAATTATTTTTACCGGCTTTCGTTACATTGATACATACCTTCATTAGACACGGGTTTCTGGTAATTTATACCCTCAGGAGCATCAATAACTTCACACATTGCTATACAAGATAGATGTCCACCAATGCAACTGGCGCCCCAACCAAAACCTCCATGACTATAGGGTAAACTTATATTGAGGTCTGTTGACAAGTATACTCCATTCCCAACTAAGGTATTCTAAAACGATAACATACAAAAGAAGGTTTTATGATTCCCGTGATTAAGTTATTTATGAAAAGCACCAACTGTCTTTCAAAATTTATGCTGTTTTATTTAAGGGAAGTGTGATTATTTTTTTTTCATAAAATAGAACTGACTTCTAAGTTTTACTTATATTAAAAGCGACATAATTATCCCAAAAACTGTTATTTCAGTTGGGCGGAGATATTCTGAAGGTTATTAGGTATTACGAGTATATGATAGATAATCGCCCGATTTCAATAGCAGTTTTTGAAAAATTAAGTTGCTTTTAAGAAAACTATTTTTTTTAACTATTATTCCTCACTTTAAATTTTTTTGGAATGGAATAAAAATGTCTTTATTCAAGTAAGCTTGTTACAAGCTTTTCCCAAAAGACGTCGTTCAGGACGTCTTTTAGCTAACAAGAAGAACAAGCAAAAGAAACTTACCAGTTCTTTATCATAAGTAATGACATGTACATAAATCTTGTCATAATCATAATAGTACGTATTATAACAATAATAAATACAATTTTCAAAGTCTGTAGGACATAGGTTGGTACATATAATTAGTCGTCATAGAACAGAGCGAAGGCTATTAATTCCATGCATTGTGATTCTTAAAATAATCATCAACTTTATAATAGCCTTTATTCATAAGTATGTTCTTTACATAAATTTTTAGTTTATTAACGTGTAGGTCAATTACGGAACTTTATTGAATATAGCAATGCATTTGCCCAGAAATTATATAATATTAAAAAATATTCACAATTTTATTGATACTGTTTTTTTTTAATAGCTAAAACTAAAATACAAAATATCTACACAAAGAATATGTCAACTTAGGAAAGGAGAGTTTGTTTATTTGCTCGACATATTTTTTTCCATTACATATCTATATTAACATTATAAAGAGGAAAGATTTGATCGTTTGTTTGTTTGCATTGAATAGGCCTCAAAAGTACTGGACCGATTTAAAAAATAATCACCTACGGGAAGCTACATCATACTCGGAGGACATGCTATAATTTACGAAGGCGAAGTCGCGGGAAATAGATAATTTGATAGAAATTGATTCACAATTCACGAAGAAAGCGGTGAACATACCTATTTATATAAAAATATACATACCTGTTTGAACATAGAAAATTCTCCTTTCCGAATTTGAATGAATGAAAAATACGCAATCTATTGTAAAAGCAAAAGATATAGAAAAATAGCTAATATAAACATGTCATCTAAATATGTATGTGATATTTGGTGAAAGTAAAGCATAATTTGGTTAGTTATGAAAATAAAATCAAAGCTCTATGAGACCACCTCAATCCTTTCACCTCAAGCTTTCTAATAAAAAACTAATTTTGTTTATCGGTCAACAGTCCGCGTAAATTTTGATGAACATACATCGCAATAAAACATCGAAAAAAATATCGTTGTCGTATAAAAGCCGGAGTCAAGCTCCATACAAATCTTTTATGTAAGATCAGAAATTGCTAAATATCGTAATGGTCAACATTATTTTGCAAGTTCTTATCGTAAAACAATGTTTAATTATTCTGGTAATACTGAACAGTTACCTTATTTAAATGTTGCTGTAGTCCGAAGTTCATAATGGTGTAAAAATTTTCCAAACGGTTTCCATGAAACGCATAAAATGTATTATGATTTCTAGCTAACTCCTTCCATTTTGCCTCTGCTGTCGACTTGTTTGAGTTACAGACTTGAAAAATGTATTGTGGTTTTGGTGTATTTTGGACATTTAAATTCGCATGGGCTAAAATCGAGTCATGCTGCAAAAATGATTTTATATTCATATATCTATAATATCTATACTATTATAAAAACGTGACCGATCGATGTCTGTACATTGAAGATATATGAACAAAACTGTTTTGAGAGGCATTTATAAACGTAACAGAACACAAAAAAAAAGATTTATAAATTTTTTGTCTTTTTGTCGGTTTGTTTGTTTGTCGGTGGGTTTGTGCACGATAATCTCAGAAGCAGCTGAACCGATTTTAATACAGTTTTCACTATTGTATTAGGGTAACCTTCCGTTAACATTTTGTGATATTCATAAATATTCATGATGTTCAAAAATAAAAATGTTTTATCAATTTGAAGTACTGTGTTCACCAAAATTGTTATGAAATTAATTGCTTTATTAAATTTTAGTTTCTGATATATATCATCGTCAGCTCTTTTACAACCCCATGCAGTGGGGCTCAGGCTTTTATTTCATAATTTTTGGTCACCCATCCCGTAAACAACACATGTAAAAATTGCTTAACAACAACAATTTCAAGTAGCGGCGCTTATCCGTTGCGCTACCGCACTACGTAGTAGTAATTGTCTGTAAAATTATAATTTAAATGAATATAAATAAATAGATATTAGTTTTTAATATTTTGGATATTGCAATGTAAGTTGATTTCAATTATATATGACCAATCACATTAAATAGCGTGAGCGATGTATACGATCACGCGAGTAGGCGATCAAGCGAAAAGAACATTGCGCTACAGGAATTTAGCATCGAATAGTTTACAGTGAACGCACGTATAAGGTTTTCGATAGTAAATTCTTATCAGGTTAGATTTATGTCTTCCAGGCTAGCGGAGGTAGTTGGCAGCCACCTCTGCATTGTAGGACCTCACCTGTCTGGGAGAGGCTCTCGATGGACCCGAGCCTCTACATCTGCGATGGGACCACTAGTCCAATACTTGAGTGTCCTGATGACTCGGCTACGGCTGGATGCGTTCAAGGAGAAGAGTCCTACTCACCACCTGTAGCTTGCTGGGTAACGGGAACAGAGCCAGAAGCATTTCCTCGACGTTAAAAAAGTGAAGTTTACGTCTCAGCAGATTCTTTCGCCAAAAAGTTACATAAATTATAAGAATGGCTTGAAAAATGGTCAAAACTGAAAAACTGCTAAAAGGATCAGATTCTTAAGAAGAACCTGCAGCGAGGCGTAGAAAATTTTTAGGCCAGATTACGCCCTACAGAAACTTTGGCTCAGCATGAATCTAAACTGGGTTTACACCGTTCTCGAATGAGTGCAGACAACTCAAGTTATATCGATTTTTATCAACTTAATAGTCTTATGTTACACTTTTAGTTTTTTTTACATTCAAATCGCTTTACTTTAAAGTTGGTATTTGCAGTCTTCACTGGAGATACAGGTTTATTCATCGGGTATTAGGTTCATGGAATATTACATAAGTCTGAGGGTCGGTGCAAAATTGATGGAGCTCAGTCAAGCACCACACTGAAATATATGTTAGTACCCGATTTTCGTCGAGTGTGCAAGGTATTTTTAGTTCTCTGACGTTCTGCGACAAATAAGACGCTCATGTCTGACGAAAGTTAGTGGGGGCATGTCTGTCGACCCTTTTATTGACAAACAAAGTCGCTTGAACTTCGGGCAGGAAGCGCTCGGTCACAGGAGATACTTAACGGGTGCGAAGCGTATTTAAATACCCATCGCGAAGCTCATACACTGTCAAGTTGAATCTGGAGTATTCATTGTTAGGGAAAATATCTTGAGTTCTCAGAGAACTCATACAGCAAGCGTTTGATCTTAGAAAACTCCTGAAGATAACTTAGCAAGTCTAACTGGTGATCGTAACATATTCGTACGTTGAGAACGATAGTGACACAATGCAAAAAATGCGATTTTGAGTAATGAGCGTTTAAAGTTCAAGAAATTGTTATCAGCCCCTCTAAACATCGTATCATCACTACACCACCTAGCAGTTTCTAAGCAAGCTACGTTCACAGAGACCTTTGCATTTTAAAGTTTAAACTTAACAAAGAAAAATGTTACCTAGAGTAAAAAATACGTCGCTTTTGGTTAGTGACATTGTCATTCTCAACGTGTCATATGTAGTATCGCTTGAGACTAAAACTTCCTTTGATAGAGAAAGGCGGTCGAGCTCGGACTTTGCAGTATAGAGTGTGAAAAAATAGTTTCGATAATCGCCAATCGGTGATGCCTTAAACCTGCCTGTACCTCACAAACGTACATATTTAATGAACTGTTAATTAGCCGCGTAAATTATAACCTGTCTCACCTGAGTATGACGTTGCTTCCCGTAGGTGAAAGAATTTTAAAATCGGTTGAGTAATTTCGGAACCAATTCGATGCAAATAACAATTACATTTTTCCTCTTTTTAAGATCAGAAATTAGTGCATTCGGTTTACGATGCGGTTAAGTAAGTAAAGTCTTTATTGAACAACAAGAAAATGATACGAACATACATATATATTTTTCATACAAAGCATTCATTCATTCATTTCTATATACTAAAGACAAATTTAGTGCTAGCCAGCGATTTCTTTGAGGCAACCTAGAATAAGATGGAAAAACATAACAAAAAACAATAAATTGCGCATACAACTAGACAGATAAACAAATAACATTTGAAAAGACCAAAATCAAAAGAAGAACAGTTGAAACAGCGTAAGTATACCTAATGTACGATAAAAATGGTCAGACACAAGAGCAGAAAGAGAAATGAGAAAAGAAATTGAAAAACAACTATCGTAAGCGCCGTTCATAAGGTGGATGACCAAAACATTATTATCTTGAGTTCCTCCGTGCTTCGGAATGCAAGTTAATCCGTTGGTTCCGATTGCATCAGTAGTCGTTAACACCCACCAATTCACATTAGACCCGCATAGTGTGTTATGGACCATTGATCCTACATCAATCATCCATCCTAGGAAACAAACAATTCTCCTGATATACTTTCCCACGCAGACGAAGTCGCGGGCACAGCTAGTCTATAATTAAGGTGAAAAAAAAATTTTTAAATCCTTACCATTTCTTGAGGAATAGTCTTTAACGTAGGCTCTTTTAATCGAACAAGAACATAGAATAATAAATCAATAATTTCACTGATCATGCTTAAATTATCAAGATTATCTAGCTGTTGTAAAACTAAATCCAACGCTGGCACATCAGTGATCACACTTAACTGAAACACCAAATAAATACAACACTTTAGGTTGATTAATCTGTTAAATATCTGTAATCCGTTTTTTTGTATATACTTTTTTTAAGAAAATGGCGTGGTCGGAATATGAATATAGGTGAAATATGTATAGCAGGATTCTATTTTTTTGGACAAATTAATTAAGATCTTTAATGTTAAATGTATTATGATAAGATTTGTATTGAAAATTGTATCTGCTTATACCTAGGTAGGACTTAGACTTATCATTGCTTGGCTTTACCTGTTTAAAGACAACTCTTGTGTGTCATTCTAGGAGTGTTCCGTCCGCAAAGGGAGGCTGGAAGCTGGTCTATAAAGATGATGGGTGACACGATGTCGTTGAGTGAATTACGGCGTACATAGAGTAACGATACTCTGATAAAGTTTTTAATGGGTATACCTCCTAGGACTTATGGGGCGGCAGTGACCGTTGGATGAGCTCTCGCATGAGAGTTCCACATATCTTAATCTATACAGGCGGCAATGTTTAGACTAAGATACCTTTTAGATAAGATACTTTTTTTTTTAGTTAAAAAACTAATTCAAAACTTACTAGTTCATCCATGTCCTTGATTCCATTTTTCATGAATGGTGGCGGAAACGGCCTAAGACAACTTTCATACCTAAAGCTAAAAGCAGCTGATACAAATAAACTCCATTTGATATCTGCAGCTTTAAAATCTTTTTCAAGAACCAGTCTGTAATATTATCAAAATATTTTTAACAATATATGGTGTTAATGTTACCCTATTTTTTTCATAACTTTAAGTTTAAGTCCCAAGGGGCCACCCTTGGGAAGATTTGAATGGGCTCCGACTGTGAGTCGTTCCAAATTTTTTCATAACTCTAAGTTTGGCCCCTTGGGAAGATTTGAATGGGCCCCGACTGTGAGTCGTTCTGTTCTGTATTACTTAACAGAATTCTAAACTACTGGGCTTGTTTCTTTCTTTATAGTTTTTATTTAAGTAAATTTTTTCATGTATTTTTTAAAACCCGTTTTAACGCAGTCGGGTTTTTTGTTTTTCTTTAATTTTTTTTTATATATTTAGATTATATTTTCAATTTTGCATAATGTGATAGGTGGTGCTACTACTGAACGCTAATTGAAAAAACAGTAAAAATAAGAAATGAAACAGAAAACAGAAAATATAAAAACTGTAAATCTACTGTTAAAATAGTTGGGTTGGCATCTCTGTATACCATTTATTAATGTAAAATGTGGTTAATATAGGTATAGGTGCTAACCACATTCAACATCGTATACTTATAGTATTTTAACAGATGGATGTTGTTTTGCCACTGAAGATTTAAATGCAATGAGATATAATGTGGACGTTATTTCTTTATACTTTTTTTTTAATATAGAACTTTAAGCATACCCAAATGAAGTTTGTCTAAAAAGTAATTTGAGTGCCTGTTTCATAGCGTGGCAAACTTATTGAAATGATTCATAGTATAATTTGTGATGAAGAAGTATAATCAGGTTCAGTATAATCTGGTTTTTACAGAATCGCAGGGCTGACGCTTGTTATGATAACTGACTTTTATATTACAAATGAAATTTATTAAATATATGTAAAATCCATTAAAAAGTGAAATCTTATACATAATAATACAAATAAATATAACAATGTCAAAAAAGGTGCGGGGAAAAAAGTCTAATTGAAATCAAAAACATTTAACAAGCAAACCTCAGATGAACTGCTTTTTTTTCTAATGAATCGAGTTTTGCTTGATTTATATCTGACAGCGTTTCAGAGGCACATCCTAGGTTGCAGTTTGTGGCTGTATCAGATAATGCTTCTGGTTCCCCATCCATATTTACGTTTGTTATCTAATTCTGAAAATATAACACTGAAGAGATTTTGGAAATGGTTGATAGAGGCTAATAAATTATTTTTTATACAGAGTATGATATGTAAACATTGTTTTATTAGACAACCCAACAAAATACATACGTCAGAACTTTTTATTTTAAAACAAATGAACCCCTGTTTAGTTTATGGTTTTTTCGAATCTAAGTTGCAACGTAATAATAAATGCTTTTTGAATCTTGAGAAATATATTGAGGATATTAAAGAAAATTAATTAATATTACGATTACGTGTTCGAGGTCACAGGAACCTCATAAAAAATGAATAGACTATGTCTGCGGTTTAGAATCTAGGAAAATCTCGCGTAATAAAGAATATTATGATATAGTGCAGAAAGTAGGATATGTGAGGATTTCCACTTCAGTGTGCATTTTGTTGTAGTTACAAACAACGTTTTCTATTCTGTAAGCAAATCCTACTTCCTTAGTCATTAATATACAAGAAAGAGTTGGTACACGAGGCACATAGCTTGATCTAAATATCTAAAAGACATGATATACAATATATGAAATTGGGTATTAATTTGAGCTCTGACAATGCTACTATTAACCATCCATATAAGGAAGGGTTAAGCTCCTGCAGTGGGGATGTAAAAGGGGCTGATGATGATGGTGTACCTCAAGACAGCCTTCTGTGTGTCTTGATACTTTTCAATTAAAAATAATTTACTATGTAAATGACACTGTCCTTACTTAAACTGCAAAAACTTGAAATATACCTTTGAATACTGGCAAGACAAAATAACCTGACTTTTCCATCCGTTACACGCAGCTTGCTGTATTCTCAACATTGTTAGGGCAGGATTAGCCACGTAGCAAATGCTACACGCCCTGCGCAATTGGGAGCCTCGCTATGTTTCAGAGCCAATTAATTATTCTTTCATGTCAGTGTTAAATAATGCAAGAAGTAAAATAAGCCACGCTTCTGACTAGTCATATTATTAAGTATGAATATAAACTGACAAATAAAACTTAAGTCTCATATTAGTTGTGTTGTGTTATTCGGAAAGGAAAGTATTAATATGTATATTTGGAAATAGTGATTGATGAAAATCTCATGTTTGTAAGTTATTGGTGGTATTTCATTTAAACCTTGAGAAATATTTCCATAGCATTGAACGGATTCCTGACCATATTACTATCTCATCAAATTTTGATATATATTGGCTTTTGCGTAGGCCATAAACATAGTGCATAAATATACACCTGTACTTTCTAAAATCTAATATTTTGACGGGACATCACCCGATCCCGAAAAACAAAACAATAATATTTTACCTCAATTGGAATCGAACACGAATAAATTACTTACGTATTTCTTTATTGCGAATCTCTACTAATATTTCAACTGCTGTTACGCTTACACCTTAGATTTTTATTAATTATCCAGCATAATATATTAAAATTGGAAAAGTTATCCCGAAAACTGAGAGATTAATAAAGACAAATAATTGTTTTTATAAAAATATTGCCTTGAGGAAACAACGCAGTAGTCTAATGGATTCTTTGGAAATATATAGCGATAAATTAAGTGAAAGTCGGCAGATGTATGACCGGGATACAAAAAAAATGCAATCTGAAATAAAAAAATTACATGACTCAATAGAATTAATACAAAATAAATATTTAGTTGCACAGTCTCAGATTGATGAGCATATTAGTTCTGCCACAGAGTTTGTTGAGTTATGCATTTACAATGCTGAACGTTACCGTTCACTGTTAAAAAATAAACAAATAACAGCTTTAGTAACAATAACAATAATAATATTTAGAAACAATTTCTAAATACAGTTAAACAGAAACCCTGTCAGTCATCTGCCCACCAGTCACAGCTGTATACTCAGATACCTGTTCAGTCATCTGTCACTGATGACTGCTCTCCATCACAATTTTCCCAAAACCACTCAATAAATTCACAAAATTTTAAAAATAATATTTTAATCTTCAGTGACGAAATTGGCAAAAATATGGGCCGTCTGCTATTCGATAAGGGCCATTCAACATTAAACTTCTGTATTCCTAATTCCGCTTTTAATGATATTTTAGAAAAAGTAATTAAACAAAACTACAGCGAAAATACCACTTTACTGTTTTTATTGGCAATAGAGGTACTTTGAACAAACATAAACTATTGAAATATATAAACGAATTCAATTCGTTAAGTGTTAGGAAAGTCGTGATTTTTACGTTGCCGTATTGTAATTTTTTGTCCAATGAGGAAAATAATTTGCGATACAAATTGAATATGACATTGCACACTATATGCAATACTACAAAGTTTCAGTTTCATGTCATCACTAATGATTACATGAAACTGAAACTGAAACAGATTTCTCCTATTGAGCACTCTTCTATTGACATGACTGTCAGTAATAATCCTACTGACATTGAGGCAAATTCGTCTTTAAATTAGATAATAAGACAATAGAGGATTCCTCTTGCTTGCTATTGAATAGACATAGTAATAATGGAACTAAGAGTTTGTCAGTCATCAATGTGGTGCACCAAAATGTTCAAGGAATGTTGAGTAAAGAGTTAGAAGTAGAATTATTCATGAACTGTAACAATATTGATATTTTCTGTATTACGGAACATTGGTTAACAAGTTATAATTGCATTTTTAACTTGAATAGTCACCTAGTTGGTAGCTCGTTCATTAGGAAAAACGCAATGCGTGGTGACACACTAATTTTATTAAACAAAAAGTTTAAATTTAAAGAACGTAGAGATATAGTGAGCCTATCGGTTGAGGAAATAATAGAAATTGCTTTCATAGAACTGGACCAGCTTATTGTACTGAGCGTATATAGACCTCCTTCAAGTTTAGTTTCTCATTATGATCTTTTTGAAATAGTTATGGATGAAGCTTTAAAAAAGGTATATAGCAAAGGCAAACGATTAGTGATTGGGGGTGATTTTAACGTTGATTTATTAGGAAACTCAAAATCATGTACAAGACTTGTAAATCTATTTATGTCATATAATATTGCATACATGTATTGACAACATTTTTACAGATCTGATACCACTTTCAAAACAGACAATTAAACAACTACCGTCAGATCATTTTGGACAAATAGCTTTACGCATAAATGCACGTTTGTGGCTAGGAGAGACATTACAGTTGTGTCAAAAGTATGAGTCGCTTGGAACGTTTTAAAAATCAATTAGATAGTAAATTGTAACATTTGAAACATAAAAGTAATGATCTGTACAAAGATTTCTTTGATGTTTATTGTACAAAATTCAATAAGATTTTTGTCCCAAAAAAAAGGTATTAGTAATTCTATAACTTTTAGTGTGTAGGCTACACCAGGAATCTATATAAGCAGAAAAAGGCTCTATGAACTATATGATGAACGTAATTATAACACATGTGAGGACTTCAAAGAATATGTACGAAATTACTCTAAATTATTTAAAAAAGTTTGCCAAATGTAATTATCTAAATGCAAAAATTAAAAATAGTAAAGATAAAGTTAAAATGACGTGGAATATCATAAATAGTGAAACTGGAAGAGAAAAATCCCGGAATATAAATTTTAATTTAAACATTGATAATAAAAAAGTAACATCAGATCTTGAAGTTGCTACAGTATTTGAAAATTTATTTACTGAAATTCCAGTCTTAATTACACAATCTTTGAATTCCTCTTCCACTGTTGCTGAATCTATTTTAAAGGCAAGTTTAAATAATTGTAATAGCCAATTTAAGTTTCAACACATTGATTTTAAAGATATAATAAAATCTTTTAATCAGCTAAAGAAAAAGAAAACCGCTGATTTATGGGGTAATTCCATTGAAGTTTCTAAATCGGTAATTAAGACAATAGCTCCAATCCTAGCTTATATATTTAATGAATGTACTGATTGTGGTATTTTTCCTGAGCTCATGAAATATAGTAAAATTATTCCTTTACATAAATCGGGTAGCACATCTGACCCTACTAACTTTAGACCTATATCCGTGTCTACGTAAGATTTTTGAAAAAATCATGCTGGATCAAATACAAACATACTTTTACAAGAATAACCTTATGAATCGACAACAATTTGATTTTACAAGGGGTCGCTCAACAACCGAAGCCGGTGTCGAGTTAATACAAGAAATTTTTAATGCCTGGGAGGATTCACATGATGCGTTAGGTGTTTTCTGTGACCTATCTAAGGCATTTGATTGTGTTTTTCATGAAACATTGATTAGGAAACTTCATTATTATGGATTTAGAGATAACTCATTGGATTTTATTGTCTCATACTTGACTGACAGAGTACAGAGGGTTGATATCAATGGCAAAAGATCCCCTGGATCGAAAGTTAAGATGGGTGTTCCGCAGGGCTCAATACTTGGTCCTTTCTTGTTTTTAATTTACATAAATGACTTGCCTTATTTCGTAAGGGATGATCACGAAATAGTTTTGTTTGCGGATGACACTTCACTTTTTTTAAAATTAAAAGAGAGCTACCTCTACATGACGATGTGAACAATTCTATCGCTAAATTGGTTTAATGTAAATAATCTTCTCCTTAATGAAGGAAAAACAAAATGCCTAAAATTTGTACTACCTAATGTTAAAAAGTAGATATAAATGTTAATATAAAAGATAAGAACATGGGCCTTGTGGATACCACAGTATTTTTGGGAATAACATTAGATTCTAAACTACAGTGGGGCCCACATATTGATAAATTGTCGAGTAGACTTAGCTCTGCAGCATATGCCGTAATGAAGATAGGTAGGTTAACCGACATAGATACTACCAGATTGGTATACTTCAGTTATGTTCATAGTGTGATGTCCTACGGAATCCTATTGTGGGGAAATGCTGCCGACATACAAATGATTTTTGTACTTCAGAGAGAGCAATTAAATCAATTTATAATCTTAGGATTAGGGACTCTTTAAGGGAGAAATTTAAGGCAATAGGCATAATGACTGTTGCTTC